CCAACTGAGTCAACCTGAAACGCAAGATGTTGACTCATGGCATGGACAAAAAATGCAATTTTAGGAAACTATTTCAAAGCAAGAAAAGCGGTAACAAGGCAAAGTAGTTTTGCAAGGAAATTCCAGTCAAAGGGGATATTGTGGCTGAATTAATGAAACAAGAGGGAATAGGAAGAAAGCAATAAACCAGAGAGGAAAGCAGAGGGTACAAGTAGAGATGAAGAAAATTTCACAGATAGGATTAAACAAGATAATGAGACAAGTTAGTGAGGTTTGTTGGTCCGAATGACCTGTTTTCGTGCTGTACAGCCAAAGCGAGTGTACATAATAATACTGGCATTTGATATAGCACCTTATTACGTCATTGAGGCATCTCAAACCGCTTTACAGAATATACTATAAGAAATGTTTTGATTTAGTGAAAGGGGTTTTGATTTAGTGTCCTTTGTTGAATTTTTAAACCCAATTTGAAACTTACCGCAGACTACTGGAGCCGCAATACACAACCCCTGCACCAGCTGAGCTTTGGATTTTAGCTGCACGGCTTTGAGGAATCGAGCAGAGAAGGAGGAAATGAACAAAGAGGAAAAGCGGAGTTACAGTCCTCAACTCCAGGCTGAACATACTTAAATCATTATCGGCTGTCTCACACAGCTCAGCAGCCAGCACTCAGTGCATACACAACTCCACAGTCCACAAAAAGAAAAGGAATTTTATATTCAAAGGCATTAATAGATTTATCAAAATCATTGCGGAGGGATTTAGTGCCACGTGGATTTAACTCCTGCATTCCTTTTTTTAATAATAACTTCAGCTATAATATCCAAAATTATAAGTTTGCTTTACAATTGGGCTCAAAAATTGATTCATTTGATTTACATATACAAGTATAAACAGCAGCAAACAAAATAAGTTCAGGGCCTTGAACACTGGCTACGGCATTTGGGGAATTAGATTTTCTTTACTGAATTAATTAATAATCAGCACCTTTTGACATGAAAGGCGCCGTACAAATGTAATTTGTAGTTGTTACAATAATAATGTTGAACAAATACCTAGAAAACCTTTGTAAGACACAAAGATTATATGATTAGTTTTGCAAAGATAGTAAATCCCATTATGTCCAGGTGATCCATTGTCGCATACCCAGTGATCGTTACTTATAACAGATTTAATGTAACCATTTCCTAGAATCTCATCAATCTTGAAATAAATTATTTGAATAATCAAGACTGCATTAGATCTGTGGAGATTTGTAGCTACAATACTCCAGAGTCAAATTGTCTGGGTGAACACTACATTTCAAAAACAAAGTCTGCTGTACAGTTCATAAACGATATCCAAAGGTCATGTACAGGTTTCCATTTAATCCTCAAAAGGAACACCGTATTATCGGTTGCATAACTCTTACCTTGAAAGCACACACGGCTATTACTAGCTTTCAAAGGTTGCACCTCCAATGTAATTGCTGAAATGCCTTACTTGCTAGATTCCCAAGCTCCAGACCATTTAATACTCTGCAGCCTGTGCTCCCTCCCAATCCTCACTCAGCTCCAATTGCTCCCCAGTGGATCTAACTCAAGATTCTCGTTCTTGCATTCAATTACCTCCATGGCCTTCCCCCCCTACCCCTGCGACCTCCTGCAACCCTCATGTTCCAGCTGCTCCCTCCACTTGGCAAACATCAACCAAAGCTCCACTTTACACCCCCTACCCACACTCCGACCATCAGTACTCTGTTGCCTGCATCTTCATCCATACCAAACTCCGCACCCCCATCACCCCAATCGTCACCAGGTTCCACTAACTCCCCGGCTGTAAAAGGTTCAAGTTCAAGATCTTCATCCTCGCATATCCCTTCACGCCCTAGCACCTCCCTGACCTGCTCGTACTGATATTCAATGGAAGAATGCACAAGCATAATAGCTTGATTTAAATGCATGGAGTTAATAATAATAATAATCCTTGCATTTGATATAGCGCTTTTCACGTCGGGAGGACGTCCCAAAGCGCTTCACAGAACACACTGTAAAGTGAATTGACTATATTTGTGGGCGAACGCGGCAGCCAATTGCGCACAGCAATGTCCCACAAACAGTCGTAGATTGTAAATGACCAATTTATTATTGTTTTTGGTTTTGGAGGGATTATTATTAGGAGTGTGGGGTAAGGAAACTTGCCCAAGGTTTCGCCCTCTGCCTGGAATTGAACTCAGGTCTCTCGCTTGCAAAGCGAGTGCTCTAACCACTGAGCTACAGGACTCCACGAATTACCATTCATAAACACAACTTTAAGATTAAGTAAGTGCTTACAACTCTCATTACCTACTGATGCATCACTTTTAGATAAATTAACAATAATAATGCTTGCCTCCTTGCATGTATCCCAACCAATTATTTGACCAGGGCAAAAGGAATCACAAGAAAATAATTCTTGAATTTGTTATCGCCGTAATACATAATGTACAGGGTCGACAATTTTACAAAGTAACCATTCCCCAACCACAAAGGCCCATCTTGATCAATTCTTGTGTTATGGGAAATTATTTTGTCTTAATAAACAAAATGCACGATATACATGCAGACATGAGGGAGAAGTGTATAAGAGCATATTAGAAAAGGTGATGGCTCACATGTGATGCATTAACTAGATAGGTTGAATGTGCTGCTTCCACATAATATTCTGTGTAATTCTATGTTTCTCCTCCCGACGTGAAAGGCACTCAATAAATGGAATCTTGTTGTTGTTGTTATACGTACATTCAGCATTTCTGCATTATACACAGAGGAATAAAATATTGTCCTGGCTTTGTACGTAAATTGAAACACCTATACTCTGCTTTAGTATTAAAGCAAGTATTTCCTCTCAAGTAACAACATCCTAAAAACCTGTAAATATAAACTTCCAACAGAAGAAAACAATATCCATCATGAACAAAGTTACAAATGACTTATGGTCACATATCCTACAGCACACCATTCAATCTTTTCAAACCAGATTTGTACTCATTACAAATTGAACTGTGCATTAGAATTGAGGACTGAAGGGCTGCAGATTACCAGTGAAGCCTTCATAATTACAGTGACGTCACCATTTCCACTGTAAGCTCCGTGAAACATATTCTGATGGTAATGTAGTAAATTCATAAAGTATATGCCGCTTCTTCCCATTATGAAGCATAAAGCTAATTACGTAAGGTGCGTGTGTGCAAGTTGGAAGTGGGCCAAATGCCAGCAGTTTTTTTTTTAAAAATGCAGGTAGTGAATGCAAATACAGAAGGATAACATCTACATGGACTCAGCAATTTTTTAAAAACTGCATTTTATCGAAATAATCTAAATTTAGGCAGACATTATAGTTTAGTGTGCTGTTACTAAGAACGAATGACTTGCTGCAGTGCTGAATACTATAGCTGGAATACCACTTTCAAAATATTCTGTCTGCCACTCGAATTTTAGATTTAAACTGCCCTTTCCTCTGCTTGCAAAATGAATTGCTATTGTACACAACTCTTTTCAACCATTAATAATAATCCTTGATTTTATCACATTGTTCAGAGGTCTTTGTAAAGTGGATTGATGATATTTTTGGGGCAAAAATGGGTTGGGGGACAATAATCGATGTCTTTCAACATTCCACTCTCAACAGAGAAATAGAATATGTTCCTATAAAGCTTGAAAGTAACTTTTAACCATTGAGGCCCATGTTTAATTGGTGCCCACCTGGAGGAATAAAGTTCCGATATGCAAGAGCAAAATAATATGAACTGGAGCAATCTTGCCCAGCTCTGAATGCACACAAGTCCACAAAATACTCCAGCAAACTGCCCAACATTTGTAATCTCATTCAAAGAAGCCACCAGAATGGTTGATACTAGAGATGGAAAATTCAGTTTGCTGGAATAGGAGTGCTCGTATAACGCTAGCATTAAACCATACTGCTAAGGTTCTTTAATCTAGTTCACATCATCAGTGGCCTTGCAGTGCTAAATGCTAACACTGGACGTTAAAGGCATTATGTTACCAATATCCTTCACTGTGAATTAAAATGAATGC